ATTGAATATGAAGATAATGCTTCTTATTGTGGGGGTATACAAACATGATTGGAATTTTTCACAAAATAGAGTACAATTAATTTTATAAAAGTTATCATTGATTACAAGTAACGTCTATAAAAAAATAGTTAAACAAAAGGATAAAAAAACTACTATTATTCAATTCTTAAATAATTGATAACTAGGACTATTCAATTCCATACTTTGACAGTTTCTTTTTTAAAAAAAACATAAATGTTTGAGAATATGTATTGTATTATTGAAGTATGTAGCATCTCACAAATATAACTATACAACTTTAATTTATTAAATCTAAACATTTAAAAGTAATCTGTGGTCAAAGTGATCAGATGGCAATAGTCAGCCATACAAGTTTGTTCTCTTTGTGCACGTTTTGTTTCAACTGATTGACTGAGTAGTAGTATTTTGTAGGGACGCTTAACAAAATTATACTCTACCGCTAATTTGTTTTGGAGTTCCCATGACTACTGTACACTTTGATCAGTTTGAAGCGACAAAGGGAGTACCATTTGTTATTCTCTCATTGCTGGAGCGGTCAATTTGCAACTTTTGCAACAGTATTCCATTTGTACTTACATGAAAGTTACATATTTTCCAACTAGAATAAAGCATAGATCTAGAATAGCCCAGTTTGGTTGGCAATTAGGAGTTGGCAAGCGCAAGCCCTCTTCTTTTCCCAATTAGCCTGCTTGAAGTAGCTGCTCATCATCTTCCAAAAATTTAATTTTTTTTAGGAAACCCAAATATTAAATTTTTGAGGAATTCTTTTTACTTTTTTAAATATGAGCAAAAATATGTTGATATATTGATAGTACTAAGTTATTGAGAAAAACTAATATAAAACGATACATAGTCCCTTCTTCCAAATCTAGCACACATATACATGCAAGTTGTCAATGTCGCCAAGATTACATGCCACAATCCTGTCCCTAGCTCACAGTTGAAGGTTGTCGACGTTTGATGTCGCGATTTTAGTATTTATATAGTATGAGAATCGTTGGTACTAGGATATATGCGAGACTTAGGTAAAAGAGATGGGGACGAGGATTTTTATACAGGTTCGGGCCCCTGAATTGTCAGGTAATAGCCCTACATCCGGTTGGCCGAAGCCGGTCGTTACTCTTATTCACCATAATCATACCAGTACAATATTTGGGGTAGCTTATCTAACTGTTGTCGATATGGCAACCATGAAACCATCCCGTAGTCGACAACAGGGTAGTCTTCCTCCTCGAGTTCGTGCCCGGCGAGATCAGAAACAGCGCTAGATCCCTACAGCCGGCCTCTGTAGGTACCGGATAGGGTCAGTCCAGGCATATCTCTGATGTCGATATCTGGCGGCTTGTCTTGGCGTATGTTGGCTTGTATGTTGATCTTGTGTCTTGATCTATTGTTCTATGTCCTCTCTCCTCCTAGGGGGCCTTGTATTTATACCCATAGATGTCCCCTTGTCCAAGTAGAATTAGGGAAACCAATATGGATACAATCCGAGTAGTACTTGTCGTTTCCATGTAGAACTCTATTCATCATTCCTTATGTGGAACTCCTCCTATATCCGAAGGTTGTTTCCGTATAAGACATGGTATGTGGTGAGTCCTGCCGAGATTTAGTCAACTATTATTAGGTATGTGGTATCCATAACCCTCATAAAGGTGATGCTCGTTTCTTCCAAAGATAAAAATAAAGTCAGGGTGCACAAAATAAAAAAAACCATTAGTGTATAATTAATTAAGTTTTAATTATTAAAAAATAGAAAACTAAATTTTAATATGATGTTTCAAAGCAATTTTTGTATAAAATGTTTTCGTACGGAATACACCATTTAGCAGTTTTAAAAAACGTGCTTACGAAAACATAGATAAAATCTACTACTTCGTAAAAAAAACAAACCCTAGGTACAAACCTAGACAAGTATATATCCAAATTCGTAGTTAGAATTGATTTTTTTTTTGGACGGAGGGATATATCTTAACCAGAGAAAAAGAGATCATTGTACTCTTATATATACACAGTCACACACATGTCTAGCTGATGCTCAGCAGTCAGTCATATCCCTATCAAACATCTCGAATTTTCGTTAAAAAAAAGGCGCATTATTAGCGCAACTTGACGCCGCAACTCGCCCTGAAACTCACATGAACTATACAATCCACAGCCCTGATCCTCAAAGCTAATTAAGCTCCCCATTAATTATCTCGACGACGAAGACGCGCGCGTGCAATGCATGATCATCCCCATCTGCCCGCCGCCTCCGGCCATCTCCACAGCACGCGCACACGTCGTCGATGACGACGACCGCCGGCCGGTTGCCTCCGCACCACGGCACCCGCCGCCCGCCTCGCCGGCCGGCGCAGATGCCCTCCCACCACCGTCGCCGCACGCGGCTGGATTATCACCATCATTTATCAAACTGTATTATTATATATTATACTCTTATCTCATCGATGGTAGATGCAAAGTATGCTTTAATTTCGTCATTGAGAATTTCGTGATCATGATGGTGTTGAATAATGTGAGATACAGTTATACAGTACTTCAGCTGCCCCATAAAAAACAATCTAGTATCGGATATGAGACACTCTAGTATTATAACCGTGTGTAGTTCTTTGGCTAATTTTTTTTAAAGTATACGGACACACATTTGAAGTATTAAACGTAGACTAATAACAAAACAAATTACAAATTCTGCCAGTAAACTACGAGACGAATTAATTAAATATAATTAATCCATCATTAGCAAATGTTTACTATAACATCACATTGTTAAATCATGGCACATTTAGGCTCAAAAGATTAGTCTCGCAATTTACATGCAAACTATGCAATTGTTTTTTTCGTCCACATTTAATCTTCCATGCATATGTCCAAACATTTGATGTGATATTTTTGACCAAAAATGTTTAGAATCTAAACACACCCTATATCCAGATTTGTACTGATAGAATATATCACATTCGATCCTGATTTTTTTTGGATGAAGGGAGTATGTGTCATTGTTTTTCTTTTTTATTTTTGCTGAAAGAGAGAGATTGAGAGATTGGGATGGAGTTAATAGTGCAGAGTGATACGGGAACAGCTGTTGGGATGCTTAGTAGGCAACTCCACGATGCAGATGATGAACATCTTATCTTAATTTGCCGCCCGCATCAATGCACATGCGACAGGCCCATGCTGCTGTACCGGTCTCTTGTTAGTTAGCAGTGCTAATTAGTTACAGTACTACTGGAGTTAGTTTTCTGACCATTTCTTGGACAGCTACAGCGAAATAATTCAAGCTCGATCAATTGATTGGCAGAATGTTTACTGTAGAGTTAAGGGTTATACACCTTGATTATTACTATCTCCTGTTACTCTTTTTTTTTTCTTGAGTTGTCATGGCCTTTTGCTGTCCGGTGGCGTGGATCATGTGAAGGAGAAGAGAAAAGGCAAGGGATACTGGATTTGACAACACGAACAGTCACGGTTCAGAGTTGCATTTCCGTCTTCCTTTTTTCAAGTAGTATTACTACGTACGTCCTAAAATATAATACTACTTCATACTTATAAAATAAATCATTTAGGATAATATTTAAGTTAAACTTTTAAAATATAAATTATTAATAACTCTCAAGTTGTTGAGTTTGAAAATATAAAAATTATACGTATAGATTTGTCTTGAAAAATACTTTCATAAAAATATATATATCACTTTTCAATAAATATTTTTATAGAAATAAGAAGTCAAAGTTGTATTTTGGAGACGGTGTCGCTGTCCTAAACGACTTCCTTTACGAGTATGGAGGGAGTACTAACTTTTTAATTTTTACAGTCGATTCTACAATATAATAACTTATTGATCAATATTTTCTTATTAATTAATCATAATCCTGCACTATTCAGTTCCCCGTCTATTTTCATTTTTCAATAATCGTAATCTTCTCCGGTTTAATTTTATCTACTCTAGTTTTAACACCTGTATCTAACTCTATAAATCTTTATATTGTGGAACAACGTAATAGTATTCCTTTTGTTTTAGCAGCCGTAGTCTTTACGCGTGTACTTGGCGCCAACAGCTAACGCGCCCCCAAGACGTGGTCGCCGCCTTCGCCGCGCTCCCATTGACGCGCGCCGCGCAGCCACGGCCCCAATCATTGCGCGCTCCCCGCGGCGCCCGCGTCGCGTCCCGGCGCGCGGCGCCGGCGAGCAGCCGAGACACGTAAAACGCCTCTGAAACGAATATTTCTTGCTTGCGTCGCGACGGCGTACGCGTCGCGTCGCGTCGCGTGTGCTGGGTTGCTACGTACGGAGTACTCCGTACTTAGGTAGAGCTGACCACGAAACCTGCACGTTGCCAACCGCGACAAGCATCGATCGAGTACGTCGGTGTCATCCACGGCGGCGGCGGCGGCGGCAAAAACTAGGAGCAGCTACAGCTCAACGAGACGTACGGTCATCGCCGGCGCCGGCGGCGGTCGCCGGAATGGCGGGGTGAGGTGAGCGGCTTTGGTTGGTCGGCTTGGCGAGGGTCACGCGTGGCAGGCAGCAGGAGGATTAGCGGCCAGGTTTCCCGGGCACCCAATCACCACCCTCTACGTTGTGCTCTGCTGCTCCAATGGCTAATTATAATAATAATGCACACTCTCTCTCAATCAAATCGATCAAAAGCTACACCTAACAAATCCTCCTCCTCCCAAAACAAAATTAATTAATTAATATTTGTACGTATTATATTCTGCACCAAATGCACACACTTATGAAAACTTCTCCCAGAAATAATAAATAGAAACAATAACTTCCCCCATCATTCCTGGAAAATAATAAACATCAATCATAAATTGAAAACAACATCAAAACATTTCCCAAAACCGAGTCATCAACCAAATAAAAAAAATTCAACCATATACATCCATAAATGATACTATAAATTCCTAAGAAAAAACATTTTTGAAAATGGAATAAAGAAAATCCTGATATATTTGTTCCCTCACATGCCAGCTCTCCTCTTCCTCCTCCTCCGTCCTCTCCTTCTTCTCTCGCCTCACGGATTTTATAGCTCCCAAAAAAAAAACCAAGAAAATAATCTCCCTCTCACGGCCTCGCGTCCTCCTCCTCCCAATTTTTTTTCTCCCCAAATTCCTCGCTCTCGAGCTCCCCGGATCCCGAAGGCGCGGCGATTTCTTCGATTCGGCCGCGGGAAGGAGGAGAGGTGCTCCGATTTGATTGCGGCGGGGCGCCGCCCGCCGCGGGGTGATTTTGGGCGGCCGGGGAATGCTCTACCTCAAGCAGCCGGGCGCGGATTTAGGGTTCCGGCCGGCGGCGGCGGCGGGGCTGTGATCTGCTGACCAGGTCGGCGGATGCGAGGTTGAGCCGTGGGTAGTCGGCCGGCCATGGCGGTGGAGGCGGAGGCGGAGGTGGAGGTGGAGGTGGAGGCGGGGGGATGCCTCCTGCAGAGCTTCGAGCTCTACGAGGCCGAGTCGGTGAGCGCCTCGCGTCCGAATCGCAATGGCTGTTGTCCCTGTCGCGTGGTGGTGCTCCCCCCAGATTTTTGTTGTGCTGATGCTTGGTGTGCTTTGCTTGATTCGGGGAAGGATGGCGCGAGTTTTGAGGTGTGCATGTTTGCTCGGGAAATGGTTGCGCGTTTGGGCCGTGTGATATAGGGATAGGCGGGCGGTGGAGGCTGCGGATTTGCGGCTGCTTGGATCGTTTCTGTGCCACGCCGGGAGATTTGGAGCCACGATCCTTTGGTTAATTCAATGTTCCTGTTTGTGATTTGGGCGTGCTTGTTTGGTTAATCGTTCACGGAAGGCGATTTCTAGGTGTTCTTAGCTGTCTGTGTTGTCCATTTTGAGCGTGATTTGGGATTTTTTTTTTGTCCCTCGTTAGTTTCTGTGCGGTTATGCTCATTTTTGGTTAGCAAAAGGAGGGAGCATTCCTTGTTTCCTAGTGCTTTTTGGAGTTTAATTTGTTTGGAGCTATGATCCTAAAAGGTAGCGCTTAGCATTTTCTTGCACTTCTCTGTTACAATTTCTAAATGCATTTCTCAATATTTATTGGTTTCCCGAGATGAATTTACGCAGTTTAGAGTCTGAGCATTGTGCTGTCATAGGTAGACCAGAGTTGTGGAAAGTACTCCTGTTATCTTGTGTGCAAAGGTGAAGACCTTGCATCCTTAGATGGCTTTCAATTTGGTGGCAAAAGCTGAGCCTTGCTGTCTTTCAATGGCTTTCACAGTGTTTGTAGATTGGTAGATGGGGGCTGTCTGGGTGTGGGCATTGACAACTTTTGTATGGTTTTAAAGGAGAGTGCTATTTGAATATACTTATGGATGAAATTATGGTTTGGGTGAGATGGAGAGGCAAAATTAAGTTTTATGGGGACTAGAATTGAGTATATTTTCTTTTGCATGGTTGTTGTTAAGTTGATTACAGCAGTACAAAAGATACTCTTTTCAATTCAAGTCATTGAACTGATTTTCTGCCTAGAGTGTTCCATGAATCATTGGTATTTTCTTTGCTACTCAAAACTGCAGCAATGTATTTTCTGTTTATTCCCCCGCTGATACAATGGCAAATTTGCAATTGCATATATACTTGTTCACTACATTTTGATGTACAAATTATTTACTTGGTTCATGGGGCTGTCGAATCAATATCTTTGCTCTTGTTTAGTTTGTTCATTGCTCAATATTCTCATGGCTACTAGTGAAAATGCACACATTCTTCTTCTTTTGGTTTTGTCAATTGGTCTGAATACCTTTTGATTTAGTTCCTGCAACTTTCTGTTTAGAAATGTATGTTAGCATTGATATCCTGTCCTGTCTGAGCTGAATTGTTTGTATATTCCTTTTCTCTTTGCACCTATCATGTTCAAATAAATCTGTAATTTTGAAGCTGGCCCTCTTTGTGCCCCTTGCAAATCTTGACTTTTGAACAGTGCATAAGAAAACTGAAAATTTAAATCTGTTTGATATATAATGATCAACAAACAATCTGTTTAACTTCTATTGGCCCTTGTTCATTCCTTTTATTCTATTACAGTTCCTAATTTTTTCCAGTCAACCATTTTTTTAAGTATGTCTCTTGCATAGCCCAAATTCTTTTAGTTATCTCCAGGTTCTAAGTACACTGGTACAAAGTTTTTATGTTAATATCGGCCAGGCAGTGTCCATAGCTGGTTTTGCAGCAGTAGGATACAAAATGTTAATGTGGTGACCTGCCAATTCTTGGGGTTTTAGGCTAGCCAAGTGTGGATGGTCCATGTATGGGGGGATGTGTGACAGACTTAATCAGGAAGCAGATCAGCAGATCATGACGTGACCATTCTCAGTTGAGAAAGTGTACATTAACATTTATTTGCAATGGGTCTATCTGATTTCCTTTCAGAAGTTTTCAGCTCTTCACTAGTAGATATGACATGACTATCTATTGGTTCATCAGCAATTTGATCTTTGAATAATTAAGAATTTACTGAAAACATTTTATTACAATGTCAGCTACATGCTGGTTTACTAATTTTCCACACTTCAATTGTGAATTCTACTTTGCAGAAATTCTATATTCTCGGAACTAACACTGACAAAACATCATGGAAACTACTCAAGATTGATAGAATCGAACCATCAGAGCTCAACATTGATGAGAGTTCAACTGTGTACTCACATAGTGGATATCTTGATCTGCTAAAGGTTCTTGATGAAGACCACAGGTCAACTGGTGGAGTAAAATTTGTTACAAAATGTTTTGGAATCATCGGTAAGTTATCCATCTTTCTATAACCATTTCATAATGCAAAGCATATGACAAATAAAAAAACAATGCATTCATGATGATTTCTCTGTTCAGGTTTCATTAAGTTCCTCGGACCTTATTACATGCTAATCATCACCGAGCAGAGAAAAATTGGGGCTATATTTGGCCATCCAGTTTACCAAGTTACTAGGACTGCAATGATTGAGCTGTCAAATTCCGAGTCGAGGGCAAAATTTCTAAATTCCAAGGATGAAGACAGGTATCTTGCATCACATTTTATGCCCTCCAATTACCTTATAGCCTTGTTTGGCAGCCTGGTTTCCAAGTACATTCCCGTAGGCTGGCCAGCTGGATTGAGGCCCATCCAAACAAGGCCTACATGTTTTTCTTTTTCCCTTCTGTTTACCTTACAAATTTTATGACCATGGAACATTTAGTTCTTTTTCTATAAAACTTCAAAGCTACATATTTATTTCCCATGTCGAATGACTACACTGTGTATTCATGATAATCTAACCTTTATTGATGTGCAGATACAAGAAGCTCTTGCAGACAATTGATCTTAGAAAGGACTTCTTTTTTAGCCACTCGTATAATATCATGAGAAGTTTCCAGAAGAATTTTAATGATCCAAAGGAAGGATGGGACCTGTATGACACAATGTTTGTATGGAATGAGTTTCTAACACGAGGGGTTCGCAACATTCTAAAAAGTACCATATGGACTGTTGCGTTGGTCTATGGCTTTTTTAAACAGGTACATACCCATAAATTAGTGTTTTTATTGTTCTCATTAAATAGGACTAGTGAAACATGGTAGAGCGCAACAAAATGAAGACCCTTCTTTCCGTAGAGAAATACTAGACTATCAATTGCGCAGATTAGCAAGAGCCTATCCTCGAGGTCTTATTGATGTTGAGATGTCAATTTCCTGCTTAATTATTCATTTGTTTTACTAGTGAGCTACACTCATGATTTTTATTTGCTTGTGTAAACAAGTAACATTCATAGGTTATTAGCGTCTTTCCATCTTTATCAGTAAAATCATGCTGTATGGAAAAAAATGTACATAGGAGAACATCATAATGGGATATGCTTGTAATTATACATGGACTTATCTTGTAGAGCTGAGACATTTCTTCTTATGTGAAACCTTTCTCTAAAGAAAAACTGACAGTGTATCCATTGCCACGTGAACTTCCTTTTTGTCTAAATTATTTATTTCTCTTGGATATTGCAATTTTTTTTATTTCTGACATAATTTTGGAATAATATAACCTAATTACCATTTTTATCAAGGATAAACTCGCAATATCTGGGAAAGACATTATGCTGACGCTTGTTGCTAGACGCTCGAGGCATTATGCTGGCACCAGGTATATATATTTTTCCTAGTAATTTGCTTTGCATGTTTTGGGTTGACGTTACTAAGAAATGCATGTGGATTATGGCATTCTTGTTTTGATTTTGTTATTTTGTTGAACAGGTATTTAAAGAGAGGTGTGAATGACGAGGGTAGTGTAGCAAATGATGTTGAGACTGAGCAAATTATTTTTGAGGACATGCTTGGACCAAAGCAAATAAGCTCTGTTGTGCAGAACAGAGGTTCCATTCCCCTATTCTGGTCTCAGGAGACATCCAAGCTGAATCTTAAGCCTGATATCATATGTAAGCATTGAATCCATTTTTTTTATGTATGCAGTATTATTCAATTATTTTGATTTGTTTATTTTTCTCAGTGCATGAAAAGGACAAGAATTATGAAGCTACCAGACTTCATTTTGAAAATCTTAGGATAAGATATGGAAATCCTATAATCATCCTAAACTTGATTAAGGTAAGCTGAAAATGCATTACTAGCATGCAGTTTTTGTGGGCTTTATTAATATATTACAATAGATGAATAGAATTGGTAACCAAAGTTGTTCTAGAGACCATGTCATGTCTTGAATGGGCGTAGTACTTAATAGTTCATGCTCTTACAATTATTTTTCTTATGCTTTGAAAGAAACGTGAGAGGAGGCCACGTGAATCTATACTCCGCAGTGAATTTGATAAAGCAATAAAGATTATAAATAATGATCTACCAGGGGAAAATCATCTGCGATTTTTACATTGGGATCTTCATAAAAACTCTCAAAGGTATTGCTTCTTTGCATTTCACACTTTTCATGTATGGTTTGATAATGCTTTTAATATGCATTACTGAAGCAAGTTGTATTTCAGAAAAAGTACAAATGCCCTCCAAATGCTTTTGAAAGTGGCTTTTGAAGCTCTGAACTTGACAGAGTTCTTTTACTATCAAGTTCCTCCAGCTCGAAGGGCTGAGAGTTCCTTCAATTTGCATGCTCCATTGTAAGTATCTGTTACCTTTTCTATTTAGTTTGAATTCTGTTACTCCCTCCGTTTCACAATGTAAGTCATTCTAGCATTTCCCACATTCATATTGATGTTAATGAATCTATTATGTCTAGATTCATTAACATCAATATGAATGTGGGAAATGCTAGAATGACTTACATTGTGAAACGGAGGAAGTATTTTTACCTGATGGGCTATTTATACAAAGGCAGCATTTTCTTCTGTGCCTTTCCTTATTTTCACTATGGGCTTTATAGGAAGAATGGTTTTGGTCCTCATGAATGTGATGACAGCAACAATGATGATATCACAGACTGTATCGATAATATTGATGATATGTCCCAAGAAGATACTTGTGGCAGTTCTGATACTTCTGGTAATGGAACTGCAGAAGATATAGCCGAGGGCAATGGATCTATATCAGTAAAGCCTCCAAAATTTCAAAAGGGTGTCCTACGTACGAACTGTATAGACTGTTTGGACCGTACAAATGTTGCTCAGTATGCGTATGGTTTAGCTGCTCTTGGACATCAGTTGCATGCACTTGGTTCTATAGAATCCCCTGAACTTGATTTGGACTCCCCCTTGGCTCACCATTTGATGCATTTTTATGAGCGGATGGGTGACACACTTGCTGTACAGTATGGCGGTTCAGCTGCTCATAACAAGGTGCTTTCACTGAAATCTTTCTATTTGCACTGTAGATCATTCACTCTTTCCATAGGACCATGGATTGAAATAGGAGTGATTCTGCTTCACTAATCATTTTAGGATTATTCTATCTTTAGTTCCTTAGGCATTGTATCTGGTTTACTTGTAGTTTTTTTATGAACCTTTCAAATGGAATGAATAAATCAACCATGGGAGGACATGGCTTGGAAAACACATTTATTCCAAAAAAATAAATTCAAACCATGGGCCCATGAAATCTTAAACATCATAATGAAATGCCATACTCTTCTCATATGATTAATCATCATAAGCTTATGATGATTAATCTTAATCATGATATCCATGGACCCAAAAATAATGTGTTGTTTTTATGCGGCAATGTGTAGCTGCCACACTATCTTCGATTCCTATGATGACACTAAATTTTTGTACAATTCGGCAATTTGCCAACGAGTTCGTCCGCGTATGCATGGAGGTGTTGTGCCACCCTTTATATTATCTTTCCATTACATACATGAGAAAACAGACAATAGTATGTACCTATTAGATAGACAACAAAACGAAATGCCATACCAGCCACTGATTGGTAAAGTGATCGAAATCTCAATACATAAGGTTGTAACTCTGGTCCAGCTACACATTGCCACGTTAAAACTCCAAATTAGTAATTGCTTGAAGTTTAGGCCTATCTAGAGTGCGAAGAGTAAATATGATATTATTTTGACTGTTGAGATCTCCATTCAGTTAATATTGTAAACTGATTGGAACAGGAGTACATGACTATAGTCTATAAATAACACCTTAATTTTCTCACATAATATCTTTATTATATTTTTCTTGTTGAGCTATTCAATTATAATGTATTTCATGAACTAATTGTGTTATTTTATGGTATAGATATTCTCTGCAAAGAGAGGACACTTAAAGTTCGCTATCCAGTCGCAAGAGTTCTTCAGGACACTGCAAAGATACTACAGTAATGCATATATGGATGCTTACAAACAAGCAGCAATAAACTTGTACGTTTTAATCAAGCTGTTCACTGTACATATCTTTATGCCCTCTAAAGTTTAAATAGGGAATTATTATGTACTAAGTTTTTATTACTTGGTGCTTTTACCTTCTTAAATTTCTAGATTTTTAGGATACTTCCAGCCATGTGAAGGTGAACCTGCACTTTGGGAGTTAGAACCTGTTGCTGGGGAGGGTGTCCTTGGTGAGAATGCAAGGTAAAATTACTACACTTGAACATGTGTGGTTAATTATGACCATGTAACCCGAAGCTTTTTCTTATCATTTGAACTACATGAGCAGTGTGACAGCCTTGCTTTGGTTCCAATGTGAGCTATGCATTCCATCTTTTTAGCCACTCGTTAGTGTCTAGATGTATCGTAATTATCAGACCCAGCCATCCCGCCTAGCAGGTGAACTGGAAAAGTCAGGACCAAGAAGCTATATTTGGCTCGGTGCCTGGGCACAGTTTGAAAACCAATGACACAAGTGGGCTCACAGAAAAGTTTGACTTGGCTATTTCATGTGATTAGCTGGGTTTTATCCGTGATGCTAATAAACCCTTGAAATGTAAAGACAAAGCCATAAGGCATCTTTGGCAGGCTTGATGTAAAAAAATCACCGTCATCTTGCCATTCCCTCTGCTGCTCCAAAATGCCTCCCATCACATCTGCTTTTGTCTATAGGACATTGATCCTCCATCCTGGCAGTCTGGCACAAGCTATGTGGTAGAAGCTGCTTGGCAGCTGACCATCGTGGGCTGCAAACTTAAACAATACAGTGTTGTGGATTGGCTGGCTTGTGAGCTTGTCTTCAATATTTATCATTGTTTTCTGCATGCCTTGAATCATCATCTAGTACAAGCTGCTAGCTTTTCTTAAGATTTATCAGCTAGAGATCTTAAGGTGATGCAATTGTACTACAGTGCTATATTCTTGCATAGATCTTCAAGCCCGTGATGTCATTGACTTATCTTCTTTGATATTATGGATAATTTTGCCTTGACGAATTTAAAGTATTTTCTGATAAGTACATTGAAATCTAATACAAAATCTTCTAACCGTGACCCAATGCTCTCTGACCGGTCAGTGACCTGGGCCCTTGTCTGGATTAATGGCCAGGCCAGGTCTGAATACTGATAGCCACTCTCTTACGACATACTGTTGATGCTACTGGCATTAGGAACCAGGAAGGCAGAAAAAAGGGTCCAGTAGTTTACATGAGACCCCAAAGAAGTTCCACATCAATAGGTTATGGGCTCCAACCCTACACTATCTGGGGGGATTTTGGTTTCCCTTCCTCAATCGCCAAATGTAACGTGAAATATTCTTGCTAAGTTTCCATAACGAATTTAAATTTGGAATGCTGTACATGTTATTCTGATTTCTTGGTGTTCCGCAGTAAAGAATGAAGGACAAGATAAAGGGCCATCTCCATTTCGTGGCTTTTTGTTTCTTTGTTTACTTTATTTGTGCATGTGTTTTGCAAAATAACAAAATTTTATGAATTATCTGACAAATATATTTGTCTCAGTAAATTGATGAAAAGGGCAAGGTCAGATGGCAGCATTCTTCGGAAAAGCAACGCATCCATGTCCAGCAATGGTCGAAATGGAGTGTTAAAGTCATCATTTATTGATTCTAAAAGTGAGCTTCAATCTCCAAACAGTTCTTCTGATGCAATAAACGAAATTTCATCAGCACCTGATAATACAGTTACAGTGTCAAAATCAAGGTTGGTTTCTGTTCTTCAAAATCAGACTCAATCTTGTCCTTATTCTGCTAATAGATAGCAACTCACACTAAATTATTTAGGTGTGGTGTTCCTCAGAACAATATTTGGCACTAGCATATTGATCTCTGTTCTCTCTTGAAAAATACTTTAGGTATACTCCCACGGAACCTCATGTTAAGCATGTAAGCTGTGAGCTTGATTACTGCAATGGTTCTGGTGATTCAAATTTCCTGGACATTGACTGGCTTTCATCTTCAGACAACGAAAGGTGATTCAACCATATACCTTGCTTTCCGTTATCCTAACAACCACTACTTTTTTTTTGTTTAAAAAAGACAAACTTGGCACGTGGCTTTGTGAAAATGATTGTTTAAATATAAATCTATAGATCCCTTGTTTATACTGGACTTCTATGTTCATACACAAACTTGACACTGCAATCTTTGCCATGTATTCTTCGATCCCTCAATCTAGTGATAATGTGATATATCCACGACACTGCTCATTGATACTGCACATTCAAGATGAATGCTTCTTTCCTTTCTCACTACATTTATGTTGTACATTGTGTCTGAACAGGCCAACAACCATAAGTACTCCTGATGTGAATGCTTCAGCCGATAGTGTTTCTGCTGGTGTATCCTCTAGGAGAACGGTTAGTGCATTCAACAACTCAACTGTTCATTTCCTGTTTATGTGCATTGCAATTACGGTTCAGAAACCTCAACCTTTTTTATATGGCGTAATCCCTTGACGCAAGCCAAGGAACTGACAGGTTCCTGGTTCTTTTTTGGCCTAGCACTTTTAATTTTTCTTTTAGGTGTTCCTTTCCTTAAATTCTTGCTCCCTTAAGGCCTTAACCACAAATTAACATTCCACACACACACACGCGCACACACACACACACAAAAAACTCATCATCATGATGACTTCCTTGTTCTGGGGTATCAGTGTGGTTCTCTTTCACCTGAAAGGAGTTCCTGCTAGAATTGAGTTAGGAAGAGGTTCAGTTTCGGAGAATTTTTATCACATAGAATGGAAATAGATCTGAAGAAGTATAATTCAAGCAGCAAGCTTAATTAGTTATTTCATTTGAAACTTCCAGGAAGATCATGCTGCAGAGATTCAGGCTCAGGGGTTATCGGAGCATTTTGTTCAGTGGATTGATCAAGGGGAGACCTTTTGGTTCTAATATTGCTAGATGATTTCATCACTCATAGCCAAGCTAGACGACGGCAGTCGTTATGATACCACTGCAAGGAGGCGTAAGATGTGAGACAATATCGCCCTTACCATATTCTCCTTGTGACTCATGACTCTCCAAGGGGTCTGACCATCCTCCAGAGTCCTCCAGGGAAGTGTACCATTCTGTTTATTTGTTGAGCTTGATCACCGGTTATACCTCTAGGGGCGAGTAGATAGGCATTGTTCTTATTTTCTTAAAGGAAGGAAAGAAAGAAGGTAGGTAGTATATTATTCTTTTGATGTTGTACCATTGTTCAGCCATTCTCATTGTTGTAAATATATATATGATGACCCAAGTGTTTTCCCTTTTTTCTTGAGTTGAGGTGGACATGAAAGCACCATTTTTCCCTCAACTTGTTTCTTTTCTTTCTTTTGCTGGGATCTTATGAGATCTTATGTACATGTATTTCATTGCAACAGAAGATATGCTATTGTGTATTTTTGTACTCTTCTCGTACCAACGCGCCTCCCAAAAGGCACGACTTTATCATATTATTATATATATGGAGCATTATGAAAATCATTTGTGATTCCGTCAAACCTGTCATGCAACCTTTCGATTTTTTTTTATTTTTACATTTTTTTATTAAAAAATTACAGAAATTCGAAAATTTACAAATCTGCCTCATGCATTCCTAGAGGGCGTATTTGAAAAACAGCCATCCAGAGGACGTTAATGGACCTAAATGTAATCTTTTCAATATAACTTGTGAACTTTATGAATTTGTAATTTAAAAATATACTCCCCCCGTTTCTAAATATTTAACACCGTTGACTTTTTAGCACATGTTTAATCGTTCGTTTTATTCATAAACTTTTATAAAATATGTAAAACTATTTGTATACATATAAGTATATTTAACAATGAATCAAATGATGGGAAAAGAATTAATAATTACTTAAATTTTTTTGAATAAGACGAACGGTCAAATATATTTAAAAAAGTCAACGGCGTCAAATATTCAGAAACGGAGGGAGTATCATATAAAGTTGGATAAAATCAAACTTTATATCAAAATAATAGTGCTTGAGAAGATATACAACTTTGCAGTTAACAATTTTTTCATTTTAGATCTTTTAGATGTCCAAATGTTCGTTACAAAATCTAAAACCTATTTTAACAAAATCTCAGATCTACATTTTAAAATACATCGTATGAAAATAAACTTTATATAAAAGTTACGGTCGTAGATCTCGTCATATCTACAACTTTGTAATTTATTATTTTTACATTTAGAATCATTTAGAGTGTCGAATAAGCATTACTAGTTTTTAATCAATTAAAATTGATGAAAAGGGTTTGAATACAAATAAAAAAAATTACATTTAGATCCCTTAATGCTTTCTGGAAGGGCGTTTTTCCACAGAGGACGTGAGGCATCTAGATTTGTAAATTTTCAAAATGAAAAATTATTTTTGTAAATATTTTAATAAAAAATGTAAAAATGGAAAAAATTCCAAACTTATCCTCTAGTGTTCAAACATCAGTGAATAAAGTGATGCTCGTGCCAAAAAAAGTCACAATTATGCAGTTTCTCAAGCTGCTGGAGAGATAAGGAGTCAGACGCACAGGGCCAGTATAGTGCTTGACGTCTTGACTGTGGCCGTGTTTAGATTTAAAATTTTTTCGTCAAACTTTCAACTTTTCCGTCATATACATAAGCATTAAATGTGTCGGTCTTCTTTCTTTTTTTTTTCCAAGGGAAAGAGAGCTTTCCTGAGTATTGCTTGCTAGCCTATTTGCCACTAGAGCACAAGCAAGTTTGAGGCCTTCGCAGCACGCCATCACTTCCGCCTCCTCTGCTGTCCTGCATTGCCTGATGAAACGCCAGGAAGAGAGCAAGACTTTCCCTTCTGAATTTCTGATAACTATCCCAAGACCGCATCGTCCATCTTCAACTGTAAATGCACCATCAACATTGATTTTTGCCCATCCTACTGGTGGTGGTTTCCAGTGTTGTTTATGCTCCTTCTTCAGTTCTTTATCTGAATTTGGCTTCTGTTGGCCCATATGCTGGGCAATCTGCTTGCCTTTTGGATCATCCGCTTTTTGTCGGGTGAGCAACAACGTCTCCGCGTAGTGCTGCAGAAACTGCACCGATCCACAAACTGAATTTTTGCCATGACAATGAACCGCATCATTCCTCAGGAACCACACCCGCCACAGCATCAGGTGCGTGAGGGATCTCGTATGCGAATCAGTGTGATCTAGCAGTAATAACAGCCAGTCCGGTCCAGATTGCACAAATTCTTCCTCTGGTGGTAATCTCCAACACTTCCTGAGCTCTGCTCTCAGTGCTATTGACTTAGTACAGGCGACATTGGCATGGAATCCATCTTTTGCAGGGGCACCACATATTTCGCAAGCTGGATTTTTAATTATACGCCGTCGGTGCTTATTGAGTTGAGTGGCCAATCCCTCGCTTGCCAGACGCCAAGCAAAAATACGGACTTTCTGAGGAACATTAGCTGACCATATATGTTTTTTTTTTGAGAGAAAAGACCATATATGTTTCCAAAGTGCTCTTTCCCCGTTTCCTGTCGCGCTACTTGCGCCGTGATCATCTTTCCTGAGTTGTTCAGCAAGCGCGATTTTATATGCACTTTGAACAGAAAACATCCCCATCTTTTCAAAGTGCCACGCTATAAAATCATCTTCCGGCTGCCAATGGAGTTTAATCTATCTATTATATTATTATTATTAATTAAAACAGCCTTGAGAGGAGGCACCACGTTCGTTGTGGGGGCTAGAAATTCCCACATTAATCGGAGAAAAAGAAAAGAAAAGTCCAAGTAGAAATACAATATAAAAATAGCTGAAATTCGAAATTAAAAATATTGAAAGAGGAGTCCAAGACGTGATTAATTAAAATTCCGAATAAAAATAAAATAAATTTCGAAGTTAGAAAAAGAAAAAAAAAAGAGTTCGAGTAAGAATACAATTTAAAAATAACTGAAATTAGGAATTAAAAATAAGGAATATTGAAAAAAGAGTCCATACAAGAATCTAAAACAAGATTAAATAAGATTCGGAATAAAAAAAATCGAAGTTAGAAAAAGAAAAGAAAAGAAAAGAATAGTTCAAGTAGGAATACAATTTAAAATTAACTTAAATTCGGAATTAAATATAAACAATATTGAAATAAGAGTATATATAAGAATCCAATAGTAGATTAATTAAAATTCAGAATAAAAAAAATAAAATCCGAAATTAGGCAAATTAAAAAGAGAGTTAAAGTAGAAATACATTTTCGAAACAACTGAAATTGAAAATAAAAAAAATAAAAAAATCAAAAGAACACAACGAAAAATAAAATAAATTATGAAATTAGAAAAAGGAAAATAAGATTTCAACTAGGAATACAATTTATAAATAACTACAATTGGTGATAAAAAAATAAGACTATTGAAAGAAAAGAACATCTAAAACACATGATGATATTGTTTAAGTAGCAGGTCTATAGAGGAGCAGAGTGGTGGCGGTTGATGAGACATCTAAAAACTATTAATAAAACACCAAATAGAATCCTAATGACGATTAAAAGGAAGGACGACGAGCAGGTCGTGTAATAATCGGTCAAGGCGGTTGGCGGGGACTTATAGGAAGTAAAAAAAATAAACCCCAATGATAATCATATTTGATTTTTAAAATCTCAATTCCAATAAAAATAAGAGGCAGTGGGAGGGTCATATAGGAGTATAATGGCAGAGCCGCCGATGGTTGTGGGTCTTCTAGAAAGTAAAAAAATGAATTCCAACGGTAGTTATTTTAGATTTTTACAATCCCAATGACAATAAAGAGTATGCGGTGGACGGGTCGTAGAAGAGTATAGTGGTAGTGTTTGACGGGATTTCTAAGAATTATAAAAAAAAACATGAAACCCAACGAGATAATAAGCTCTAAATACTATAAGGTTCAACTTTTAAAGGTTCGGGCTTCTAAAGAGTAAAAAAATAAACCTCAGTGATAATCGTGTTTGATTTTAAAATCTTAATGACAATAAAGAAGGGCGGTATCGGGCGAGCCGTAGAGGAGTACAGTGACAAAGTCGCTGACGTTTCGGCGGAACTTCTAGAAAGTAAAAAAAATAAACCTAAACGATAATTATGTTCGATTTTTAAAATAGCAATGACATTAAAGAGAAGATGCAGTGGACGGTTGTAGAGAAGTATAATGGCAGTGTTTGACGAGACTTGAAGCATAACATGACAATAAACTCTAAAAACTATAAGTTTTTATATCCAATTTTTAAAGGTTCCAAGGAGAATAAATAGAAACAGTGGTACATTGAGCAAGCTAATAAAAAATAATATGACAGAAGTAAAGGGGTAGCAACTGGTGTGACTTTTAAAAACTATAAAATTAGAAACACGAGGATGATAAGGTATGCTGTGGACGATTGTAGAGGAGTATAATGGCAGCGTTTGATGAGACTTTTAGAAATTACAGAAAAGAAGCCTAACAGGACGATAAACTCTATAAACTTAATCCAATTTTTAAAGGTTCCAAGGAGAATGAATAGAAATAGTGGTAGATCAAGCAAGCTAATAAAGTATAATATGATAGAAGTAAGGGGTAGCAACTGGTGTGACTTTTAAAAAATATAAAATTAGAAACACGAGGATGATAAGGTTTGGTCTTTCAAAATCTTAAAACATCGAGACTTCTATTTAATAAATTTTAAGTAAAATCATATTAAAAAATATATAATTTTATATGGGTGCTAGCTGCGCAATTGCGCGGGCCACCCAGCTAGTTTTCATAAGAAAAAAACTTCAATTTAGGTTGCAGATTATACATTTACTAGCGGAATGATGTATTTTACTACAATACTTATAAAAACATAACACATCATGCTAGCTTGCCCTCGTCAATTGGAGCTGGCGCCGCTTGCGGCTAATAACCCGCTGAAAATGCAGCCGATCACTCCGCTGACCGTTCCTCTGACCGCTCCGTTGATTACTTCGTTGCGAAGAGGACCCTTGGGGCAGACCTTGTGGACAGCGTATCTGCAGGGAAGGCATCCGTAGACGATGTAGCCGGCGAGAAGAAGCCCGCAGTTGTCGATGTCACAGTAGCATTTGCTGCAGGTGGAGTTGGTGTAGTCGTAGATGGACGTCAAACGACCGCACAGCCCGCAGGGAGGGCCGCTGTCTTGGGACTGGGAGGCGGAACCGCCCTGTACACTTGCCGGCGGCACGGGGCATACCTTGTGGATCATGTATTTGCAGGAAGCGTAAGGGCAGCTGTAGCCGGCCAGAAGGAAATGGCACTTGTCGCAGGTACAATCTCGGCTGTTGGAGTTGGTGTGGTCGTAGTTTTCCATCATACGGCTGCACTTCCCGCATTGAGGTGCATTGTCGTTCGCCATTTGCACCGACGTGCGTGCTGTCGATAATTCTTCAATCGCACATTAATTTGTGAAACGATCTGGCCTAGTCATTGCGAACTTTTGCAAAAAGAAACTGAGGGAGATTTGTTTTTTAGTTATTTGTCAAGATTTCAGATTATTAACAGTA